CTTCATGATATCTGAAGAGTGATATATGTTTGCTACTAATAAGTATCTTCCATTTGCTTGGGTGTTCTCAAATGCTAAAATATGAGCATTAGCAACATCTCTCACATCAACTAGTCTATAAACTCCATCTGGGAATATTTCCTTTCCTGCATATATATAATACATCATTCAACACCTTGCGCAACATAAAAGTTTAGACAATGAATCCATCAATCATGCATATGAATATTAGTTGTAGAAAACAATTACCGGTTTCAATTAAACGAATAAAGCCCTCAGAAGTGATGTTGAGAGTTGGTTGTAAGATAGGGCCAATCACAAACCCCGGATTTATAACCACCAACTCAAGACCTTTATTTTTACAAAATTCTACTGCAGCATTCTCAGCCAGGGTCTTCGCAAGGGGATACCATAACTGTAATATATAAAATAGTATTTGATTAATAAAGAAGTTAAAGTTTTAAATACAATTATACCTCTTTTTGTTCACAAGTTTCAGGATCTGAAAACCAGGTTTCATCCACCACAGCACCAAACTCAGGAGGTTTTACACCATATAGAACTGCAGCTATGGAAGATGTCAACACCACTCTTTTGAGAGATGGAACTTTTGCAGCTGATTTAAGAACATTAAGTGTCCCCTTCACTGCAGGATCTAGCAATTGTGCCTAATAGAAATTAAGAAAAAAAAACAATCAGGAATTGTATCATATTTGTGTTGATAACATATGGGAAAGTTAATTGAGAGCAAAAGAAGGAAAAACAACCTGTTGGCCAGAAACTGGAAACATAATAGGAGACGCTGTATGGAAGACACATTGGCAACCATTAACAGCAGAATCGAAAGATCCTTCTTCAAGCAAGCTAGCTTCAAACAAAGAAAGCCTTTCCTTAGCTCCATCAAAAGCAAGTAGGTGTTGTGTCTTTTTAGGATCATCTGCACCACATTTCAACGGAACATCAACTATCAGAAGATATCAAACATAAACACATCTCAAGAATGAAAAAGGTCAACAGGTTGATGATTGATTGTTAAACTTACTACGTAGACTTCAAATCAACAATCTGAATACCTCTTAAACATTATTAGGGATAAGAAACGGATCAAGTTTGGTCGCAGATCAATAATCTGATTCTGATTAATTATTCGATAAAGCTAGTACTTGGATTGGATTCGAACGCAGAAAATAGCATAAACAACGAATTTGATCCCTAAAAAGGTAGAAATGTAGGTTCCGAATGTTTTGAAATGATAGCAGATTCAAAGTCAAAGTTAGAGAGAAGGAGAGGCGAACTGAGGGATCGGACAGTAGCATGAACAGTGTAGCCACGCTGAAGCAAGAGCTTGACGAGCCATGACGCTATGAATCCCGATGCACCTGTGACACAGACCACCTTCCCTTCTCCAATCATCTCTCTGAAACTGGGGAGTAACAGATGAAGAGCGTGACGTTTTGTAAATTTGTATATAGGAGAATCAGAGGGAAGTGCCGCCACCTTTAGCATGGGCCTTAATGAAATAAAATATACATGCCTCATTTTACATGTTTTTGGAGTTATTTATTTATTTATATTTTATATTTTATATTTTTTTGAGCAACTTATTGTTTGGTCATGTGTTTGACACTAATCCCCAATTTTTTTCTACATTTTAAAATTGGTAGGTGGTTTCAATGGTCCATATAACTTTTACCGTCAATGGATCTTTGTAAACATATAAAATGACCAATTTACACATGTTTTGTCCTTTTGTTATCTAGTCATTTTTAAATTTGTAAACCATTTTTAAAAATTAAGGGATACACCACCCACCACTAATCAGGGCCGACTCAATAGAGGCGGCAAGCTGGGCGATCGTCCCGGACCTCACCAAATCTCGGGCCCCGTAAGTCAAGGTTAGTATATGTACATATAGTTGATATAAAATATAGTATGCAACTCATAAACAAATGTAAGTTTGGTTTAGATGATTAAGTCGCCCTAGTTGGGTTTTGTGAAATCCCATGTTCGAACCCTTTTGTTCTTTGGGCCTGCAGTTATGTTTTTTTTTTTTTTTTTTTTTTTTTTTTTTCTTTTTTAGGGACGATATGGGCACCTTTTTTTCTTCTTCTTTAGGGACGATGTGGGCACCTTTGATTCAGTTTTCAAATGTCTATGTGGGCACCTTTCCAAGAGACGCTTAAGTTTTCAAATGCTCCTCGTAATACACGGTTTAACAACAATTTTCAAGAAGACAAATCATAAATGGGTGAGCAAGAAACCGAAAAAGTATATTGTTTCTCTATTTATTTGTAGGGAAAAAGTGTCATTGTTTCTCTATTTGTTTGTAGGGTGCTTCATAGATTAAATTTTCATGTTATTCATATTTGGGTTGCTCTTTACCATGACCGATGGATTTTTTTTGACCATGTGGACGACATTGCCCCTGGCTCCATTTCGCTCATGATATGGCATGTCTTTCTCTATGATGTTTTTACAATATTGCTCCTGAGGTGCAAGTGTTTATATTATTTGTAGGGAAAAAGTGTCATTGTTTCTCCATTTCGCTCGTGATATGACAGACCACCTTCCCTTCTCCAATCATCTCTCTGAAACCGAGGAGTTTGTCCGTGGACACTTGAGCAGATGAAGAGCGGGACGCTTTGTAATTTTGTATATAGGAAAATCAAGAGGGAAGTGCCGCCACCTTTAGCATGGGCCTTAATGAAATAAAACATACATGACTCATTTTACATGTTTTTTTAGTAAGTTATAGTTTGGTCATGTGTTTGGCACTAATCGGCAAATTTTTTTTTTCTAAATTTTAAAATTGGTAGGTGGTTTCAATGGTCCTGCTTTGACTTTTACCGTCAATGACCCTCCCTTAACATATAAAGTGACCAATTTAGACATGTTTTGTCTTTTTGTTATCTTGTCATTTTTAAATTTGTTAACCATTTTTAAGAATTAAGAGCATCCACAATGGTGAGTTCAATGGGAGAGTTGAATGAGGTAGCAAGTCCATGTATCATTTAATGGATGGAGCTCAACCATTGTGAGATACCACCTTGGCATTCAATGGATTTGGAGTTCAATGGTCATTGAACTCCTCAATGAGAAAAAGGGAAGTTTTAATCTTTAAATATTTACTATAAATTACATTTTGTAACATAACATTCTATTGAACTTTGTAGAGTTCAATGCATTGTAGAAAAAACAATAATAGAGTTGTATGAATTTTAGAATGATGATGTGGCAATCCATTAAACTCTATGGAGTTTAATGCATTGTGGATGCTCTTAGGGATACACCACCCACCACTCATTAGTCGGACAACCACGTCACTGTACAAAGGTGCCACTTCCTCCATCATACACCACCACAAAATTAAATCAAAGCGGTAATAAACAAATTTAAGACAAAAGCAAAACATACATTCAAAACTAGAAAACCTAAAAAATCATATTCAAAATCATTAACCTACAACATCAAAAGAAACATCAATTTTAATCGGTTAAATGCAATTATCTGAAATCACAATTATTCTTGATGGGGCAACGGGAGTGTGATGGTGGTGGTGTCATGGTATAGGGGACTAGGTGAGGCGATCATGATGGTGCCGTGGTGTAGTGTTTTTGAGGAATCAAGAGAGGATGGAAAACATAGTTGAGGGTCGAAGAGGTGTCGACAGTATGGTAATGGAGAAGAAAGAAGGGAAGATGAAGGATGTTATTGTTAAGGTATCCCGCATTGGTGCCACACACTCTTATAAGTGTTTCTATATGATAGAGTCTCCATTATCTTCATATGACTCTTTTATAGAGACAATCTTTAACTACACATATATCTTACACGATATCACAAAAGATATCTGCACCATGTGGCTTAACACATCCCGGTCTATCCTTGTCATTACAATAGCATAGTAAGTTGCCGTTGTCCGCAATTTGCCCATTGAAAATAAAACATTTGCGAGTCTAGTCATGATTTTTGAATTGAAAATATTTACAACCATGTTTACTTTTCACCTGATTGACTATGGATTAAGGGTGTCAAGTTATGGAATGGAGTTACATGAGCGTTTGCTGTTGCCTTTTGGGGTCACGTGGGTCCCGTTTATCAAATAAGGTTTAGATTTTCTTTCAATTTTTAATAATATATATTTAATAATATTTACCCAGCTTAGCTTCTCACAAATTTTATAGGGCTTTGGTGAAGTTGGTTTGCCGACAGTAGACTTCTCTTGAGTGGTAGTAATGACTCTACCCTCAAGGTAAAATCAAGTGTTTTCTTCTTCTTTTTTTAGTCTCTAGTAACATCATAAATAGGAGTATGATGCTATACATATCAAGATGCAGATTTTAAAGCATCATCTATACACTCCTAAACTGCAAATTTGCAGTGGTATTTTGAATTTTGCATAATCTAGGTAGTTTCCAAGTGTGACAAACCATGTGGTTCCGTTTTTTGATAATATGCGTAACATGATCACTGTATTTTTTATTATTTTTTTTATAACAGGGTCGAAAACAGTAGACACCGTACAATACATTGTTCATGTGGTAACTTCAAACAAATCTAGAAAACATCATCCAGTGTTTTAGATGCTTAGGAACTTCTTCTCTTTTAGGCTTTCAAAAGTGTCCTTGATGCTTTCCTCAACTATAGTAAACTTAACGCCTAAACTTTCTGCCTTTGTTCTCGATACAAAGTAATTTGGTGCCCCAACATACTTGCTGTCTTTATACCTGTCAAAATTTAAATAAAGAAACAAGTATTTCAGATTTTGCCTTTTTTGGGTTCATATATATAAAGTTAAAATGAACCTAATAATAGGTTATAACTTACCTTTCAGAATAGTCAAAAGTGGGATAGTTTTGGTTTATCATCTTCATGATATCTCAAGAGTGATATACATCTGCAACCATAACGTATCTTCCATTTGCTTGGGGGAAGGACCGATCCTTTTGTTTTGCGCCACCAGTTCTTAAATGCTAAAATATGAGCATTAGCAACATCTCTCACATCAACAAGTTGATAAATTCCATATGGGAGAAATTATGTTCCTGCATATAATACATAATACATCATTCAACACCTTCCACAACATAAAAATATAGACCATGAATCGATCAATCATGCATATGATTTTTTTTTGTTGCGGGAGACAATTACCAATAAAGCTCTCAGAATTAAACCAATAAAGCTCTCAGAACTGATGTTGAGAGTTGGTTGTAAAATAGGGCCAATGACAAACCCGGGATTTATAACCACCAACTCGAGACCGTTATTTTTAGAAAATTCTACTGCAGCATTCTCAGCCAGTGTCTTGGAAAGGGGATACCATAACTGTAAAATATTAAATAATATTTGATTAATAAAGAAATGAGACCACATTGCTACATTTTAAAGTTTTAAAAACAATTATACCTCTCTTTGTTCACAAGTTTCAGGATCTGAAAACCAGGTTTCATCCGCCACAGCACCAAACTCAAGAGGTTTTGCACCAAATAGAACTGCAGATATGGAAGATGTCATGACCACTCTTTTGAGAGATGGAACTTTTGCATCTGATTTAAGGACATTAAGTGTTCCCTTCACTGCAGGATCAAGCACTTGTGCCTAATAGAAATTAAGAAAAAAAAGAAACAATTCAGGAATTATATCATATTTGTGTTGATAAGATATGGGAAAGTTAATTGAGAGCAAAAAAAGGAAAAGCGACCTGTTGGCCCGAAACTGGAAACATAATAGGTGACGCTGTATGGAAGACACATTGACAACCATTAACAGCAGATTCGAAAGATCCTTCTTCAAGCAAGCTAGCTTCAAACAATGAAAGCCTTTCCTTAGCTCTATCTAAAGCAAGTAGGTGTTGTGTCTTTTTAGGATCATCTGCACCACATTTCAATGGAATCAGAACAAGTCAAACATAAACGAATCTCAAGAATGAAAAAGGTCAACCAGTTGATGCAAAGTCGATCGGAATATTGATTACAAAACTCACTGCGTAGACCTCAAATCAACAATCTGAATACCTCTTAAACACTAACAGGGATAAGAGATGGGTCAATTTTGGTCACACATCAACAATCTGATTATAATTAATTATTCAATAAAGCCAGTAGTTGGATTGGATTCGAATGCAGAAAATAGCATAAACAACGAGTTTTTCATCTGTACAGAAGGTAGAAATGTAGGTTCCTAAGGTTTTGAAATGATAGCAGATTAAAAGTCAAAATTAGTTGAGCAGGAGAAGCTAACCAAGGGATCGGACAGGAGCATGAACAGTGTAGCCACACTGAAGCAAGAGCTTGACGAGCCATGAAGCTATAAATCCCGAAGCTCCTGTAACACAGACTACCTTTCCTTCTCCGATCATCTCTCTGAAACCGAGGAGTTTGTTGGACTATGAAGAGAGGGAAGCTTTGTACTTTTGTATATAGGAGAATCAATTGGTATATATATAGGAGAATCAATGGAAAGTGCCGCCACATTTAGCATGGGCCTTAATGAAAAAAACCAAAAAGGAAAAAAATACATGCCTCATTTGACATCTTTTTGGTGTTTTTTTTAGTAAATTGCAGTTTAGTCGTGTGGTTCGCACTCGCAACCATAATGCATTGAATTTTATAGAGTGTAATGGATTGCCACATTATTTTTCAACATTCCATACAACTCAATCAATTTTTTCTTACAACAATGCATTTAACTCTACAAAGTTCAATAGAAAGTTAGAAAAGCTAATTTATAGCATGTATTTAGCATTAAAAAACTATCATTTTTCCCATTGAAAAGTTTAATGACCATTGAACTTCAAATTCATTAAATGCCAATGTGACATCTCACTATGATAGAGTTTCATCTATTGAATGACAACTAAACTTGACACCTAATTCAACTCTCTTATTGAACTCACCATTGTAAATGCTTTCATCTGCAAGTTTGTTCTAAATTTTAAAATTGTTATGATGGTCCTCGTGGTTTCAATGGTCCTTATAGGCTCTGACTTTTACTGTTAATGGTCCTCCGTTAACATATAAAATGACAAATTTATCCATGTTTTGTCTTTTTGTCTTCTTGTGCTTTTTAAATTTTATTAACAATTTTTAAGAATTAAGGGATACACTACCCACCCTGATTCGTCGCTCAACCCTGTCACCGTTCAACGGCGCCACTTCCTCCATCGTATACCACCACAAAATTAAAATCAAAGCAATAATAAAACATATTTAAGACAAAACAAAACATACGATCAAAATTAGAAACCTAAAAAATCATATTCAAAATCACTAACCTACAACATCAAAAGAAACATTAATTTCAATCGGTTAAATGGTGACATAAGCTTCAAATTAAAAGATTATTCATGAATCATAAATTCTAGGGTTTTGTCGATCATTAATTTAGCAAATGCAGTTATCTTAAATCACAATTATTCTTGATGGGGTGGCAGCTTGGCAGGAGTGGGATGATGGTGGTGTCATGCTGTACAAGACTAGGTGAAGCGATCATGGTGACGTCGTGGTGTAGTGTTTTTCAGGAATCAGGAGAAGGTGGAAAACATAGATGAAGGGCGAAGAGGCGTCGACAATATGGTAATGGAGGAGAAAGAAGCGAAGATGAAGGATGTTACTGTTTGGGTATCCCACATTGCATGGTGCCACACTATCTTTTATATATATATATATATATATATATATATATATATATATATATATATATATATATATATATATATATATATATATATATGATAAAGTCTCCATTCTCTTTATAATGACTTTTTTATAGAGACAATCTTGGACTACACATATATATTAAATGGTATCAAAGCAAACATCTTCTGTGAAGTTATAGAATGACATTACATGAAGGTTTGTTGCCGCCTTTCGAGGTCACGTGGGCAGTGGCGGTCTAGAATATAAAACTACATGGTTCACTATTTATATTTAAAGTAATTCACAATTTATATTTCTATATAATCTTTTATAAAAAAAAAAAAAATAGGTGGGTAAGGGACCCACTGATGTGCATAGTTTCGCCACTACACGAATTATATAAAAAAAAAAATAGGTGGGTGAGGGGATCCACCGATTTGCATAGTCTCGCCACTGCACGAAGGTCTTGTGTTTATCAAATAAGGTTTAAATTTTATTTTACTTAATACTATATGAATTTGATAATATTATCTCCGTTTAGCTTCTCACACATTGTACGGATTTGGTGCAATTGGTCTGCTGCTGAAAGTAACTTCTTTTGAGTGGTAGCTATTAGCCTAATAGATTGTTTGGGTTCATTTTGTGTTTGGACCTTGTTTAGCCCTTTAGCAAACCTTAGTCCATTCTTCTCTTTATTTATATTGTTTTCTCTAGCTTTCTTTTTTGTAACACTGATTATGTCAATATAAAAACCTTACTTCTCTTTTCTTAGTTTACAGTAGCAAGGACTACCCTCAAGGCAAAATCAAGTGTTTTCTTTTTCATTTTCTTCTTTTACATGATAAATAGTTATGATGTTTTACATATGTTTTTTACGTTTGGGATGTGAGGGAAAGAAATTGAAGCAAGATCTACCGGGTCATGCAGATGAGGTTTGTTTTTATTTCCTTTTTTGTTTTGTTTTAAAAGATAAATGGAAGATGCATCAGGAAAAAAGATAATAATCCAAAAACTCAAATAAGAAAGTAGTATTTTTCTTTTCCATATGTTTTTAGGTTTTTGCTGTGGATTGGAGTCCTCATGGTGAGAAAGAGAAAGTTGCATCGGTTGGTAGAGATAGAGTTTTGAAGTTATGGATGTGTTAAAGTGTTGTCATAAAGTGAAAAAAAAAACTGTATGTATATCAAGATGTAGATTTTAAAACGTCATACACTCATAACCATGTGGTCCAGTTTTTTTTTTTTTTTTTTTTGATAATTTGTGTAACAGGATCATTGTATTTCGTTTATAACAGAGTTGAAAACAGTATAATACAATACATTGTTCATATGATTATTTCAACAAATCCATGAACATCATCTTGTGTTTTAGAAGCTTAAGAACTTCTTCTCTTTTAGGCTTTCAACAGTGTCCTTGATGCTTTCCTCAACTGTAGTAAACTTAACACCTAAACTTTCTGCCTTTGTTCTCGATACAACGAAAGGTGGTGTCCCAACATACTTGATGTCTTTAAATCTATCAAAGTTTAAATAAAAAAACAAGTATTCCAGATTTGAAATTTTTTGGGGTCCATATAATGTTAAAAATAACCCTATACCTTTCAGAAGAAACAAGAGCAGGATAGTTTTGGTTTATGATCTTCATGATATCTGAAGAGTGATATACATCTGCAACTATTAAGTATCTTCCATTTGCTTCAGGGTTCTCAAATGCTAAAATATGAGCTTCAGCAACATCTCTCACATCAACAAGTGCATAAATTCCATCCGGGAATATTTCCTTTCCTGAATATAATAAGACATGCATCATTCAACACCTTACACAACATAAAAATTTAGACCATGAATCGATCAATCATGCATTAGATGTTGGAAACAATTACCAGTTTCAATTAAACCAATAAATCCCTCAGAACTGATGTTGAGAGTTTGTTGTAAAATAGGGCCGATGACAAACCCGGGATTTATAACCACCAACTCGAGACCGTTATTTTTAGAAAATTCTACTGCAGCATTCTCAGCCAGTGTCTTGGAAAGGGGATACCATAACTGTAAAATATATATAAAAATAGTATTTGATTAATAAAGAAGTTAAAGTTTTAAAAACAATTATATATATACCTCTTGTTGTTCACAAATTTCCGGATCTGAAAACCAGGTTTCATCCACCACAACACCAGACTCGAGAGGTTTTACACCGCACACAACTGCAGCTATGGAAGATGTCAACACCACTCTTTTGAGAGATGGAACTTTTGCTGCTGATTTAAGGACATTAAGTGTCCCCTTCAAGGCAGGATCAAGCACTTGTGCCTAATAGAAATTAAGAAAAAAAAAAAAAAACAATTCAGGAGTTGTATCATATTTGTGTTGAAAAGATATGGGAAAGTTAATTGAGAGAAAAAGAAGGAAAAACAACCTGTTGGCCAGAAACTGGAAACATAATAGGAGACGCTGTATGGAAGACACATTGACAACCATTAACAGCAGATTCGAAAGATCCTTCTTCAAGCAAGTTAGCTTCAAATAAAGAAAGCCTTTCCTTAGCTCCATCAAAAGCAAGTAGGTGTTGTGTCTTTTTAGGATCATCTGCACCATATTTCAATGGAACAGTAGCTAATGCTATCAGAAGATATCAAACATAAACAAATCTGAAGAATGAAAAAGGTCAACCAGTTGACGCAAAGTCGGATTGATTATAAAACTTAGTATGTAGAATTCAAATCAACGATCTGAATACCTTTTAAACAATATTAGGGATAAGGGACGGATCAAGTTTGGTCGCAGATCAATAATCTGATTCTGATTAATTATTCGATAAAGCTAGTACTTGGATTGGATTCGAACGCAGAAAATAGCATAAACAACGAATTTGATCCCTAAAAAGGTAGAAATGTAGGTTCCGAATGTTTTGAAATGATAGCAGATTCAAAGTCAAAGTTAGAGAGAAGGAGAGGCGAACCGAGGGATCGGACAGTAGCATGAACAGTGTAGCCACGTTGAAGCAAGAACTTGACGAGCCATGAAGCTATGAATCCGGATGCACCTGTGACACAGACCACCTTCCCTTCTCCGATCATCTCTGAAACTGGGGAGTTTGTTGGACGCTTTGTATTTTTGTATGTAGGAGAGTCAATTGGTATACAGGAAAATCAATGGGAAGCGCTGCCACCTTTTGCACGGGCCCACTCTTATTCTTTAATGCAAAAAAATACAAGCCTCGTTTACATGTTTTTGGTTTTTTTTAGTAAATTACAGTTTGGTCATGTGGTTTGGCACTCGTGGTATTGTGGTTCTAAATATTAAAATGCATAATAATTAATTTTTTTTATTTGTATATATTTAGTTATTGATTTTTCGTTTATATTTGTTCCTTTATCTTGTTTAATTTTACATATTCATTACCCGCTATTCAAGATAAACAAAAATAAATGATTTAACAGAGTAATATATTTATCACTTTGTATAAATTTAATCTTTAATATTTCTTTTCAAATTTAGTCTTTATTATTTTTTTTGTTGCAAAATAAATTGTTGTTTTTGTACACATTCAATATTTTATGACTGATTTCTTTAGTTTTTTCTTACGATATTATATGTGAGACAATCATTAATGATGAGTAATCTAAATTGTTTGATTGTTTAGGTCTTGTGGTTTGGTTTAGGTCTTGTAGTTTGAACGTAGTAACTTCTTCATTAAAATCTTAGTTTTTAATGATATTTATATCCACACGTTTGTATTTAAGTCTACTTCAACTTTCTTTTAAATTACTCCCGTTAAAAAGTAATATATTTTTACTTAGGATTTTAATATACATGCGTTCTTTATGAATGTATGTATGAATGTTTTTTAATAAATCCGTAGATAAAAATATATTACTTTTTAACAAGAGTAATTTAAACGAAAATTGTAGTAGATTCAAATATAAATGCGTGAAATGAATATAAAGTTCGTTAAAATCTAAGATCATATGAAGAATTTAAGACATTCAAGAACACAAGACATAATCACCAATCAATCGAGGTTGCAGTGACCATAAGCATGGACAACCTCAAACACCTTATTAATAATGATTGTCCTATATATGATACCGTGAGAAAAAACTAAAGAAATCGTTCATAAGTGCCGAAAGTGTACAAAAACAACAAAGATTTATTTTGTAACAAAAAATAATAAAGACTACACGTGCTAAAAAATATTAAGGACTAAATGTGTACAAAATGAAAAATATATTACCCTATTAAGTCATTTATTCATGTTTACCTGGAGTAGCCGGTCACAAGGACTGAATGTGTACAGTTAAACAAGTTGAAGGAAAAAATGTGGACGTAAAACAAAACTCAGTGACAAAATGTGTATAGATCAAAAAGTATATTACCCTTTTAAATCATTATCCCTTTTAAAATTGTTACAGATGGTCTTCATGATTTCAATTGTCCTTATGGCTATGACCTTTAGACTTTCTGACTTTTACCCTTAACGACCCTCTGTTAACATATACAATGACCAATTTATCCATGTTTTGTCTTTTTGTTATCTTGTCTATATATATATATATATATATATATATATATATATATATATATATATATATATATATATATATATATATATATATATATATATATATATATATAATTTTGTTAACCATTTTTAAGAATTAAGGGACACAACTAAGGATGAACGTTTAGACCAACAACCCAAACCGAACTGAATTAGGCGCAAAGAAGTAATTCAGTTTGGGTTTCGGGTATCTATATTAGGGTTATTTGGTTCTAGGGGTTTTTGGTTCGGGTTACCCAAATAAAAGCTTATTCGGTTCTAAATACCCAACCTGAAATTGAAGAGTCATTTATTTTTAATCCTAATTTACCTAGCTACACCGAAATTCAGTCGATCGCTCCTTATCCCTCCTTCATTAATTGTTGACAACATTGATGATATTTTTAAAGACGACGAGGTCATGAAAGCTTTGGTAGAGAAAGAGAAAACAACCATGTGACACCCCAAAAATCATGACAAAAAATTTCATTTTCAATTAAGTAGATTATAAAATTGTTTACTGAAAACATCAACCATATTATATCAGCCTGTAATCTCATAAGTCAAATATCATAAAACATGTCGTGGAATAATAATAATAATAATAATAATAATAATAATAATAATAATAATAATAATATCAAAGTACAATCCCATGGATCTCAAAATGCGGAATCATATATGTGTGTGTGATGCGCTGCTACCATGTGAGCTCCTTCCTTTTCGACGAAGAGGTACCTGAAACCAAAACTGATAACCGTAAGCACAAAGCTTAGTGAGTTCCCCCACCATACCACATAACATATCAAGCCATGCACATATTTGGGTTCCGACCTCCTTTTCACTTTATCTCAACCGGATAACTGCCTAGCATATCTGGGTGCTGGCCTCCCCTTCGGTCTATTTCAACCAGATAACTGCCTAGCATATCTGGGTGTTGGCCTCTACTTCGGTCTATTTCAACCGGATATCAGGGACTATTTCACCCCTACCACTACCACATAGAATCATAACATATTAGCACATAGAACATAACAGATAATGGCATACCAGTCAATTATCACACAGACAATCATCTAACTACAAACTTCTACTACTGGACCGATATTGTGGCCTTAGACCCACTTCTACTGGAAGGTAACTCACCTTGTAAAGTTGAGTGTCGAATCTCACGGAAAGTAATATCTATCAGCTGATTCGATGACTCCCAGCTACCATAATCACAATAACACTCAATCAAAATCTATAACACTACTTAGGGTAAAACGACCATTTTACCCCCTTGGCATAACTTAAACCATCCCTAAGGTGCAATTCTAATTTATTAAATCCAATGCACTCATGGCCCATCAAAGGCACCATAAGGCCCACTAATGGCCCAATTTTCTAAATTGAGCCCAACTCTTCAAATGGGCCTTTTCACAAGTCTAATAAGTCCTTAACCCAAAATGAATATTCTCGAGTGGCCCAATATGGCCCAAAAGGCCGAATACTTCTAATTCCAAATTCCCAGGCCCATAACTATACTCCACAATGGGCCACGGGCCCAATAGTCTAGACCCTATTCTCGAAGGCCCAAAAGCCCAATATAGCCACTCTGCATGCGTACACGCGGCGTACCTGACACGTATGCCCAACATACGCTGGTCTTGACCAAAACAGGTAGTTGACCCAGTATACGCAACATACCAGGGTGTACGCTTAGCGTACTAGCCAGCTTCCTTGGGACATCATTTGTGACTTAATCCATTAAGTCTATACGTCCAAAATGTAGATCCAGGTCCTTTAAGACCTCCTAAACCATAAAGTCACAAACTTTATGTGCTTGTATGCATGGTTGAGGGTCAAAACATGATTTTGGTCCTTTTAACAAGCTTTAAGACCAACTAACACTTGCATGGTTGTGGCTTATTTTTTATGACTCTTAGTGCCTCTAAGAGCCCAAAAGGATAGCTATTATGGTATGAAATCATTAAGATGCAAGAAGCCTCAACAATGGTGTCCAAAAGTGACCTTAAACACCCCTATAAACAAATCTAAGCATACAATGGCCAAGTTTGGAACTTGATACCTCAAAAGAGTAAAAAATGATGCCAATCTCTTGGATCTACAAGCTCTTGGTGGATCCTTGCTCCTTCTTCAAGCTCCTTTCTCTTCTAAAGCACCAAAACTACACCAAAGTACTCTCAAATGGCTTCCAAATCACAAAGGCACACAAAAGGGGGTAAGGGTTTTCGTGGAGGCTGTATAGAGGTGAGAGGGAGGTTGGACATAAGACATGAGATCCTTTATATAGGGATCAAACCCTAAAAGTTAGGGTTTTAGAACCTGCGCGTGTACGCTGCGCGTACCCTTTGGTATGCTGGGCATACGTGCATGACCTCCCCGCCCCAACCTCTTGAGTACGTTGTGCGTACCAGGCATGGTACACCCCGCATATTTCCTTTCTTAGCCCAAAACTTAAGGCCCAACAATCCTGGCCCAAATCAACAACAACCCATTAATAAAAAATATATATATTAATACCTACAAATCCTGGATGTTATAAACCAATCAATATTTCCGAATAGTTAATTCGTGTTTGGTAAATATTATTTTAGATATGGTTAAAAAATTAAGATTCATATTTTAGTTTGGGTGTTGAATGTTTAATGTTTAACTTATATACTTCTATATAGATTTTTTTGGTTTAATGTTTCGTGTTTAATATGTTGCTTCATAACTATATCTCAAGATTTTAGTGTTTGGATTTTACATTCTTATATCTCATGAATAGTTAATTTGTGTTATTCAATAAATTTTTAATCAACAAACTTGTTTCTATAAAAGTTCTGTTATGGAAGCATAAGCTACAAAAGTAATAAAAAACAGTGTTTATAATCATATTGTAATTGTTATTTGGGTTATGGAATCATAATACGATTTATTTGGTTCTTTTCAGTTATATTAAGTTGTTAATCATATTGTGAGTGTTATTCGAGTTATTTGGGTAACAACTGACCCAGACTGATTAACATCTGGAATGAACCAAATATGTATTAGGTTAAACAGTATGGGTTTCAGTTCCTCCAGTTAGTCTTATTCGGTTATTTGGATTTGGGTCGGTTCGGTCCGATTCCGACTATCCGCCCAACCCTACCACCATTCACCGGTGCTACTTCCTCCATCGTAGATCACCACAAAATTAAAATCAATGTAGTAATAAACAAATTTGAGAAAAAAAACAAAATATACATTCAAAGCTAGAAACCTAAAAAATCATATTCAAACTCATTAACCTACAACATCAAAATAAATATCAATTTCAATTGGTTAAATGGTGATAAAAGCTTCAAAATATTATTCATGAATCATAGATATAGGGTTTCATCCATCATTAAATTAGCAAATTCAAGTATCTGAAATCACAATTATTCTTGATGGTGGTGGAGTCATGGTGTAGGGGACTAGGTGATGCAATGATGGTGGCATCATGGTGTAGTGTTTTTCAGGAATCAAAAGAGGGTTGGCAATAGATGAGAGGTGAAGAGGTAGCGATAGTATGGTAATGAAGGAGAAATAAGGGAAGATGAAGGATGTTAGTGTATCCCACATTAATGTCACACAGTCTATAAGTGTCCATGTAACATCCAAATTATGAGGTATTAAAAAT